GACCCGGTCGGCTGGGGGGAGCCGACCCCGGGGGCGGGAGCGCCGCCGCGCTTCCCAAGCGGCGCACTTATCCAGTGCGCCACCGGGCCGGCCCCCTTGGTACTTTTAAAAAAAGTAAATTGTATTCAATCAGCACATAATTAAGAGAAGAAATTTTAAAAAGGCAAAAAAAAAAAAAAAAAAAAAAAAAAATCAAGGCAAAATCTAAAAGAACCTTTACAGCGTAATTTGTTTTTGAAGACAACATAGAAGAACCAGATTTTTAAAAAATCCATCAAAATTTACCCTCAAGGTCCTTCTTCCCACGCATTCAATTCTTATTTCTTCTTTCCCAAATATCTATGACCACAGTTTCTCATTAAAAAAATGTATTCATCATTCAAAACTGGATGACATATTACACATTCTGATCAAAATAACAACAGGCAATCATTTTCAGAAGTACCTCAAACTGTGTGCATCTTACAATAAAACCAAATCTGAAACTGATAAATACAAACTCAATTCTGTTCAATGTCTTGAAGCCATATACTTAATATAGTTACTATATCTTATCTAAATTTGAAATGAAATGCTTAAGATAAGTCTTACTTTAGCTCACAGATAAATTCACTAACTGCCATTTATTTAGAAGCCATTATCTGATCTGTGAATTATTTCTATCTATTGATCTATATCACTCCACAGTGAAATCCCAAGACCAAGGCATGCTTTAATGTAAAGAGTCAAGAGGATCTGGTTTAAATTGTGACTCTACCATTTCTGTGTGGTTTGGGGCAAGTTAACATCTAACAGCCTCAATTATCTTATGATCTCTTCTATAAAGTAGGGAGAACAATTCTTTCTTTGCAGGGTTTTCGGGGATTGAGATCACACACACACACACACACACACACACACACACACACACACACACACACACACCCTAGTATAGTTCCAGGTAATTGCAGGTGCTCAGTGAGTGTGAGTTCCTTGTCTCAGCTTTTAGGAGCAGGAGACACTAAGAGAAAGAGGCCAAACAACAATGAGTCAATGTGATTATTGTTAAGAACTTTGGCAACACAGTGAGAAGAATTTTGCTCAAAAAGACTTGAGGAACATTTGGCATTCCATATCACCAATAATTTATTAAACTGAAAGTTACAGTTTAACCACAATGCTTTCTTCTTGACACAAATTAACTATATGTACTTCACTTTGAGGCTTCTAAATGTTTAGACCAAGATTGTTTCTACCAAGGGAACTCCTACCCCACAATGTTAGATGTGTGTGTTTTATTTATTTTTCTTTAAAGATTATAGACTTTAAGCCAAGTGACATCATTTGCCTTGATATTAATCTTATGAAAATTATTAATTATGTTGAGAAACTTGAAAATGTATGTTTATCTAAACCAAGAAGCATAAACAGAAGCCTAAAGCAGGTATATTCGTTGAGGGGGACTCTATAGGAGTGAGGGAGTGTATGATGGATCAAGAGAAATGTATGTCTTTTCATTCCTTGTACTTGTAGAATCCCAGAGCTTTGTGTTTGTAGCAAACCACACAATAAGGCAAACAAGTATACACACACCAAAATAAAGGCATACATTTTGAAAAAGCTATCATCTTTACCAAATCTGAATATTATATTATATTCTATAGTTCTTAAAGGTAATTCTCAACCCACTAGTCATGAAACCCCCAAAATATTTCAAATCCAGAAACAGAATGTAAAGCAATAGAGAATAATTTTTACATGCATCATATTTTTCAGCAAATTTTTGCTGGACCAACAATCAAATATTCACCTTGCTAAAGAAATTCTTGCTCGTTGACCCCCACTCAGTGTGATTCCACCTTCTCCAAGAATTGTATTGTCTTTCTCTGCAAACTTGGAGATATCCTATTATCAAAAATAGAAAATTAGAAAGGAACTTTCATTATGTTGGATCTGAATTTAAAAGGTACATTTTCTTTCAAACATAACCACATTTCACATTACTGCCTTAACCACAGTTGAAATTTTGAATATAGCATCTCAATTATTTCAAATGTAATTGCATTTAGTTACTCCAAAACAACATTGCTGAAATTTTAGAAGTAAATTTTTCTTTAATTTCTAAAATGTCATTCATGATCATCAAATAAGAATTGTAAAATATATGTACACAAGTACTTAAGGGCATGTAAATGTGCATACGCCCGTTACACAAACCCAAATGCTATTAACATACCAAAGTACACTTCCTTAAAATTTACATTCACTCTTTTAAAAGGAAATCTCCAAAAATGAGTAAACTTAATAAGAGAGACTAAAAGAACACTACACACACACACACACACACACACACACACACACACACACACAAAATATCTGAGCATCTCCCCTGGGCTGCTATGGATACAAGACAATTCCTTTCCAGACTTTTCCCACCCACTTTCCCAACCAACATAGCCTCTTCCTCATCCACCCTTCGCATCTTATTCCTGTGTCCTCTCCCCATCTACTCTGCCTCTCCTGTCACTTCCCTGACACATCTGACAACCTTTTTCCCAGTTAATAAATTTCTCTGTGCCATCACAATTCTAGGCATTGTAAAAGAAGGTTAGAATTTATAAGAAATAGTCCTTGACTCCTGGCATTTTAAGTCTAACTTAGAAGGTAAGCCATACTCCTGAAGAAAGCTAAATAACCCCCAATCATTTAATTAACCATTTTAAGATAGGTTATACGGTACACAATTAATTGGCAAATTAATTGTACAGCTAATAGAAGTATTTGTACAATAGCCAGAAAATGCTAGAGGCTTTCTGGAAGGGATGGGATTTGCCTCAGAGTTGAAGAGTGAGAAAACTTCAATAGGTAGTAACGTCTCCTGAAATAAAAAACAACTCCTCCCATTCCCATACATCTGTTCTTTTCTTTTGTTCCCACCTCCTGCTCTCTTCCTCTGCTAAAAATTCTCTCCCATACCATTCCTCCTTTTTCTTTCACAGTCCAAAACTAATCTGCCAACATTTTCTATATTTAAAGTGTCAAAATGGTTACTTCTGTTATTCATTTGTTTCTTTTATCTACCATATGAAATTAAATAGAACTTCATACACAAAACTCCAAACTCACAAAGCAGATAAACTAATAGGTCATCATTTGTATTACAAACTATTTGGTAGCTCCTACAGGCTGGAACCATGCTACCCACTGCCCCCAAGGAACTGTTGCTATCAACATTCCTGACGTAGGATGACCTAAGACCTGTGATTGAAAATACTGACATGTTGGAGGAGATACAGCAGGACTCAGTGGAGTTTGCTACTCAGGTGCTGGAAAATATAACAGAGAGAGGTCATTGAGACCCATATAGCATTCCATAGGGGCAATACCTCCTTCAGTGGTTATGAGACACATGAAACCAAATGCTTCATTTGCATACTAAGATCAAATGGAACAACATCAAATTCCTCCAAAGAGGACTGCAAACAGCATTTCATTTGGTCTTATCACTGTTCAAATGCTAACTTGAGGCTGGCTGAGGCAAAGGAGAAAATGTGTTAAGAAAATGAGGGATTAGGGGAAGGAATTGCTAGATAGTTTCTTGGTAGCATGTTGCTCTGTCCATTTCAATTATAACAACAAGCTACTCTGATTCCCTTTTATTGTCAGAGCAGTATTCATTTAGAGCACTTCTAATAGTATACTGTGCTTCAGTGCCTGGTCTTTTTAGCACTCTCAGTAGTTAAGCCATGGCCCACGTCCCTGGATGCCTGGGGAGATACCTGATGAGAGACAGGTTCCTACCATTCTGTCCTTCCTTGGCCCAGTTCCGAGGGAATGAGATTTCTCAGTGGGAAGCCTTCCCCCACACCCGGGAGACCTTCCAGGCTTTGCATGCTGGGAAAATGCCATGATGAACTGTACCAAAGTGTCCTTGCTCCCGAGTCACTGGTGAGTTGAAATTTGAATTATGTTTGCGATGCCCATTTTGAGAGCTATCGGATATCATATAAACTGTGCTTGTAGTGGTTGCTCAATAAGTAACAAAGCTAGAATACTGCATTGTATAATATGAGACCCAGAACTGGAACCCTGTTCTGTCAGGTTTATTGTGAAATCTCAGTCATTTAACAGCTCTGTGACTCGATTCCTCTAACCAAAACCTGGGTCAAATAATAGTTTGTGCTTCATAAAGAGTGCTTGCTAAGTATGAAAATTCACAAATTGGGCTTTATAAAGCAAGTCACTAATTACAAGCCAATGAAAGAAAATGTGACAACTTAAGTGAAATATTTATTTCAAAATAAAATTTAAACAAAATAGATAACATGAGTGGCAACATTACCCAGAAAGCAAAATAACCTGTTTTCTAGCTCTGTCTCCACTACCAAATGGACAAGTAGCTTTGGGAAAGTCTCTTCTGGGTCTCACTTTTCCATTCACAAAATGGGGATAATAGTATCTTCCTTTAACAGTTATAAAAACTTGAAGCAACTTAATATAAAGATACTGGTCTGTAATATACACTCAAACATTGGTGACTCGCAATTTATAACAAGATATTACCAATGATCTGTCTATGGATGTTTACCTGATGTGATAATATGTCCCATTCTCCCATTAGAGGAAAAGCACATAGCCTTTCTCAGCATGTTATTGTAAAGAATGTACAAGGGATGATGTGTGGAAAAAGTAACAGACTTAGAGTCAGAAGCCCTGGGTTCAAGTCACAGGCTTGCATGACCTTGCCAGACATACTGTTGTTGTTGAAATTGCTATGTATGTGGCCATGTGCTTTTAAACTAAAAGTCAGGATTCTTAAGGGTAAAGTAAGGTAGACATGATGTTCCCAGACAGGATATTGACTTCTTTCCTCACCTTCCAAACACCACCACTCTGGAGATAGCCAGTTAATTTTATTTAACAAAGCTAAATTGTGCTATGATGTTTTATTAATCTTATTACTTTATTATAAAAGAATCAAGGAAGCAGATGCAAGTTCTTTACCTTCTTTTTTTTGAAAAATTTATCTTGCTTTTAGGAGGACTGTGTAATAGCTGATTTCAGATTTCCACTAGAATATGTTTTCAGCAGTTAAAAAAAAACAAGAATATTTTCAATCCCCACACTTTTTGCTAATTGATTAACATAGTCCTGAATGAAAAATACCTAGTAAGATACATAAATATTTTAGTAATTAACGCCACAGTAAACTTTTTGATGAGTCAACATCAGAATACTATAAGAAAGTAGATCGATGAAAGCTGCCTTCAGGCAATTCTGTGCTTGAATTTATTTGTTCACGTTTATTTGTAGTATGGACTAGACCTGACTGGAAGTGTAAGATTTCGTATTTCATATATAGATCTGTTAGATACTATGTGATATTTCCCGCCATTTGCTACCTCCTCAGAGAAAAAACTCCCAATAATATTACACATAAACCTCTGCGCTTTTGTAATTTTATTTCTACGAGATATACTCTCGTGAATGAGATGGCTAGGTCAATGGTATGTTTTTTCTTTACTTTTAAAAGATACTGCCGGATTCCTTTACAAAACAACTGAAAAGAATCAAATTTCCATCACCAAGTTTTGAGAGTACCCTTTTCCTCACAATAAATACCAACACACAATTTAATTTTTGCCAATTCACCATTTTAATTTGTGTTTTCCTTCATATCAATGAAATTTTCAATATTTTAAAGATTTACTGGCCATGTGGATTTGCTCTTCTGTGAAATGCCTATTTTTAATGAATTTTGTATTCTTATCAATTGATTTTTCTTGTATGTAATAGATATTAACAAACTTTTCTGCTGCATATGTTAAAAACATTTTTCCTTTCCTGTTTTTCTTTCCACTATGAATATATCATCTACCATATGCAAAATTTAAATTTTTCATGAAATCATTATATCTATTTAGAGTTCCTATATTAGTTAAGAAGTACTACCTAACTTTCATTTTAAACATGTAGTATTTAAAATTTTCTTTTCAAATATTTACACTCTTTTTTAATTAAAAAATTTATTCGGGTATAATTTATGTTTATGTATGGTGTGAGATCAGAATCAAACCTTATTTTCTTTAATTGTATCACAGGCATGATTTACTAAATGAATAATTTTCCACTGGATTTATATATCATCTGTCATATATCATGTTCTCATATTTACTAAGATCTATTTCTTGGTTCTCTGGTTCTTCTGATCCATTTTATATTCCTGTGTTAATATCCTATTGGGGTTTTGGTGCTCTGCTTTTTTAATGGCTTTAAGAATGGTTTAATATCTGACAAAGCATAATTCTTATCTATAACTTTCTTGTTCACTTTCGTTATTCAGTCTTCCATATAATAATATTAACAACAATAATATAAATACAAATAAAAATAGCTAACATATATTGAGAGCTTACTACTTGTCATGCACTATTTTAAGCACATCTTTATGAAAAAAATGAATATCATTCCAAAGATAACACAGCTAATAGATGATGGAGCCAGAATTCCAATCAAGGCAATTTGTCTACAAGCAATCTTAACTACTTTTGATATTTAACTTAAAATATAAAATTTAAGTTCAGTTTAACAAAATTCCAAAAATAACCTCATTGGGATGTATTTGTAATTTTATTAAAGGTACATATATTTGGACAGAGTTCACATTTTTAAGATGCTAAATTTTATTAAAAATCATGATCTATCTTTCCATTGATTCAGATCTTGTTTGAGATGCTTCAGTAAGAGTTCTGATTTTTCATTTATGACCTGTAAAATTTCCTGTTAGATTTATCTCTTATAAATGTTTATGGTTTGCTACTATTGTGAAATGGATAGTTATCAGTTTTCCTTTTTAATTTCTAGTGATTATTGCTAGTATAGAGGAAACCTAATTATGTTTATAT